AACTAATTGTTTCTAGTTTTTTTTTTGAAAACTTCAAATTGATTTTGATTTCTAACATTCTCTAATTTTTTTTTTCTGAAAATTTTGATCAATTTGATATAAAACAAGAAGTTAGATAAATTAAATATTTTTATATCAAGTATTTTAATTGATAATTGAATAATCAATATACTTAACTAATTATAAAATATACTTACCTTAAGTGCTTTTTGCTTTTTCAGTTTATAATTCAATATAATAAAAATGCTGTTTTAAAAATCTTACTTATTTTTAAAATATGCTGCTTATTTGTTAATTTTAAAATTAGTAGAATAATCAAAAAAGTACTATATATTAGATCATACTTAGAAAGTTGCTAATTTTATATTTTATTATATTATCTTGTTTAAACTAATCCTTCTTAGAATTTACAATAATTCATATCAAATTTTTTGTAGAGCTTTCATTAAAAAACCTATACAACTTTAAAGCTTTTTCAAAAATAGTTAACAAGTTATACTGCTTATCTACATGAATAAAATCACCAAAACCAAAAAAATAGATAAAAAATTTAGTACTAATATGACTAAAAATTATGTGCCTAGAATTAGTTATAGGTAAAAAAATATTATTTTGAAGTGAGAAAAAAACTTTAACTGATAGATAAGATAATAAATCTATATTGAATACATCACCATATATATAAGAATGATAATTAGAATTTTTCTAATATAGTGCCAAAATTTGTACAAGACAAAGTTTATGATTAATATAAGAAAATCTATAACCATGCTTGCAAAAAGAATTATGTTCTTTAATATTAGCAATGGTTATTCTATTTAGATCTAAATTTTAAAAATAATTTATTAAATAAGCATTTAAACTACTAGTATTCATATTTAATTACTTACTGACTCTCTTATTTGTATTTGATAATATAGACAAATGATATCAATTTTTCTACTGAATTTCACATAATTTCTTAGTTTGTGATATTTCTAAATTTGATGTATAACTTGCAATTAGATTACTAATCATATTTGAGAAAACAGAATTCATATAATCAAGATTTTGAATTCTATAAGTAGTCTTTTGCTCTATATTTTGATTACTATAATATTTGTAATTTTTCTGTAAATTAACTAGATATGAAATATCCAAGGTTTTTACTTTGGTAATGCCAGTATAAAATTTGTTATATATTTCTAAATCATGACTGTTTAAAGAATCTGTATCTGATAATAAAAAAGCTAACTCAAGACATACATCTCTTAAATCATCTTTAATATCATCATCATGAATATCAATTGTATTAATATTAACTAAAATAGTTGCTGCTATAGCAATTGCATGTGAATCTAATATTTCATTATTTTAGAACAAATTGTTAAAATCATCAAAAAATTATTCTCATCATTTTTATTATCTAACCAATTTGATTGTTCTTCAAAAATATTTAAAAAATCAAAGAGTTCATCATTACAATTAACTATTGAAAGTACTTTTGCAAAATCTTAAGCTTGTTGATATACTTTGTAAACAACACAAAGCAAATCATCATTCGAAGGCTATTGATATAATATATTAATAGTTTCTGCAAGTATCCTAGTATTATAATATGTGATATAACCTAATAAAAATAAATAATTAGAGATTTAATTGTATAAATAATAAAATAGTATATAAATTATACTTACTAACTCCAGAAGTTTTATCCTTTATTACTTCATTTAAAGTACTATTCATATATGCTTTATACATATATAATATTTTTAGAACTATATATAGTAAATCAGAAAATGTAAAGTCATTATTTATTTGTTAACACAATTCAAAAAAATGTTCATACCCTTCAGATCTGTGAAGCCATAGTAATACCAGATAAGAATTATAAAAATCATGATGTGATATAATTAGAAGAATCTAACAAAAATAAATTAGAACATTAGCATAGTAATATTTTGTAAACTTTAAAAAACTAGCAGATATTTATTTTTACTAATGATTCAGCTAAGCTTGTTAAAATATTAAATATTTGTATTGCAAGAAAATTTTTCTCAAGACTAATATTATTTGGATTAGCTGATCCAGTTAATAGAATATATGATCTCTATATTATAAAAAAGAAATAAGCCATTATGACTATTCAAGCCCTTTCTAAATGTAAAATTGTTCTGTTTTGATATGCATCAATTAACTTGTCTGGTTAAAATTTTAAAATCAAAGTATTAAAACAAAAGTTTTAATTTCTAATATAAATATATTATTAACTTACTAATTACAAACAAATAAACAAAAAGTCTATAACAAATATTTTTAGAAAAAAAAAATTAGAGAATGTTAGAAATCAAAATCAATTTGAAGTTTTCAAAAAAAAAACTAGAAACAATTAGTT